GCCGAAACTGTTGTTCGCGATTGTCATCGCGATTTGGATTTTCGAATCTTTCTCGTACGCTCGTTCCCCGTACTCGTAAAAACTCTTTCGCATACTGCGCTATGAGGAAGCCTCCCCCCTTCCCCATCCCTTTCTCTTTTCCCACGCGTAATACACCACAATTCATGGTGGGCTTAGGATAGGAGGGGGCGGCCACCACGTTAATGCGTATATACGCGGATACTCGAATGGCCCCCTCAGACTCTAATTAACTCGGATATTGACCAGAGCGGCTTATATCAGCGTGGTGTGTGCACGGCGGGGCTCTTTTTGCTCCGCGCGCGTGTTCGGTCGCGGTACACAAACGAGGGGGGGAGGAAGCGGGCAAAAAAGTGGCTCCAATTTATCAGACTCCTACGTACGGCTTTTATCGGTACGCCATTTTTACGTTGCCTCTTCACAGCAGCGGCAGCGCGGGAGGAGGAGGAGGAGGAGGCGGGGGATGTAAACGTCAAAAACTTGGCAATCACGTGCACCGAGACGTGACATCGGTATACACGACGATACTACGATAAGGGCCCCCCTTTTCGAACGCGTGCCGAATCGCTTTTATTCCGTTCCGAGAAAATATCCCTCCTTTGTTCCCTCCGTCCCTCCATTGTCTCGATATCGATGACGCGTGAATTAATTGTCCGTTGTACCGTCTCAATTGGAGTTGGTGAACATCATTCGCGTTAACGAGCTCGATCGTAATTACAAATGGTTAAAACCGGGAAAAAAAGAAGGAGAGGAAAAAATAAAAATAAAAATTCGAAGCGCTGTGTGGATTCTCTTCGACAAAACTTTGAATTAATCGTTTTTTTTTTTTTTTTTCAAAATTCAGACTCAACGCGTCTCGATGTTCGAGAACCCGTGCCAAAATTTGATTCCGCGATTTCACTCACCGCTCTTCGGCGTAGGAAAGATGTTGTAGGCAGAATCTCGAACCCAGGACGTGACTGCCACGTATTCCTTAACGAAAGTCGGTATTTCGCACCTGAGCACACCGGTATTTCCAGGTAGGACGTAGGCGTCTCGCACTTGAACCTCGTACTTTTGACGCACGACTGGAAAAAAAAAGAGAAGGTTGTGACGTCAGCTTTCCGAGGAAAGGAACGATAACGGCGTTAACAGCTCCTCTCTCGCGAAATAACGCGTAATGAAACGAAGAAGGGAGGGAGAAGGAAAAAGTGAGTTGCATAATCAGAAGGAAAATGTCAAAGTAAAGGGTAAAGAAAGGGGGTGGAAAGAAAGAAAGAAAGAAAGAGAAAAGAAGGAGAAAAGAATTTAGGAGAATTTATATATACGGATTCGAGTTCTGGCCTCCTTGCGTCCCAGCGCGATTATTGTTCAAATCCTACCGGTTTTTTTTACCCAGACATCGATATTCGCACAAGAGGAACGACGAAAGCTGAACGCCAGCTCTCATGGCCAGATATCCTCGAGCGCAAGCCTCTCCTCGTCGTCGTTAACTCCAATAACAATATAATGCACTACGCATTTTCTATTACAGAGACGTTATTCTGCTCGCGAACAACGCCGCTTTTCAACCTCAGTCTGCGACCCGTGCTTTCGGTAATTAGTGCCTCCCTCTCGCGTCCTCGTTCTCCGGGTACAATCTACACCCCCCCTCCCCTTCCCTCCTCCTTCTCTCTCGTCGCGCAGAATGCAACTCCGCGCGATTCTTTCCAGAAATTCCCTCCCATTCACGAGCCGGTAAACGAGCGATAAGTGATTTTGAGTTCCCTCCCTGAGTTTCTGCGTTCCCCCAAAAGAACGAAATCTTTCGGCCTCCAGTTTTTCCTTGTCCATTTTCAGTGAATCGCACGCGCACAAACCTTCCGTTCGTCCCCGGGTGAAACACGAGGCGAAAAGATCGGCAGAACTTGGTCTTGGCCGCTTGCAAACGTTGCAGTCGCAGCTCGCTTCTTTCGAGCACCGATCATCCTTCCGTTCGAAATATACGAGGGAAGATCTACGCGAGATAGATAACGCGATTAACGCACCCCCGAAAAGGATTCCGCGATATCTTCTGGCTGTCTTGAAACAATCGAATGGAATCGAGAAAACGGGGCGCTACAAAATGTCCACGGCCCGACACCGATGGAACGAATCACTCGCTAAACTCGTAGGTAAGGGAGGGTAGTAGCTCGTTCATTCGATGGCGTAATTGCGAGCCACGAATACTCTCCCGGAAACATTCTCCGGCAATTTTTCCCCTCAGATTACCCCATCGCGGTTTCTCTACACTACAGAAGAGAAGGAGGAGGAGGAGGAGGATCTTTGTCCAAACGATTTTGCACTCCCCTCTGCAAGCAGAAGCGGTGATCGCTTAGCTATATCGCTGGTTATCCTCGGTGCGCGCTTATTTCGTGCGAAATTTGCATTAAAAAAAGAAGGGGGGGCGGGGGAAAAAGCAACGTACTGGAAGGAAGAAAAAAAAGAAGAGAGCAAGAACAAGAATCGTGGTGAAAGTGAAGTAAAAGTAACTGCGACTCGTGGAGAGGAAGAAAGCGAAGAAAGGGGGTCGGTGGGAAGCGAAGAAATAAAGGTACTCACCGGCCTTCACCGTGATTTCACGGCCCAACACCCTACCGACGCTGTTCGAGGCTTGACATCTGTACACGGCCGAGTGGACGTCGTGTCGGTAGGTCTCCGCTCCGAAGGGCAAAAAGTACATGGAACCGTTGACCAGCATCTCGCGTATGTGAGGTATGGGGAGGACCGGCGACTCGTCCCCCATAAGCCAATCAATCCTCGGCAACGGGCTGCCCTGGGCCGAGCAATGGATCATGGCCCCGGTCTCGTTCGAGAATTCGACCGAGGAGCGCGGCTCCGAGATCAGCACAGGCCCCTGACTGTCCAGCACCACTCCCCGCCCTGCAACATGGATCGCGCCGCGTTTTAGAGAACGGCGCGGAAAATCGACGAATCTTCGAGAGGAGAGATAATTTGTCGGGTTAATGGGAAGGGGGAGGAGAACGTGTGCCCGAGATTCTCTCGCGTTAATTTCTCTGAAATTGAATTTATCCCAAGAGGATGATTGTTGGTGGTCCGTGACGAGAATTCGAGGGGAGGATATTCGGAACGGTGTTGATTATACATCAACCCGTGTATATATCGCCGAGTATAAGAACGATGAATCGTGCCGTCCGGTTGTTCGGTAAATTTGTGTACATAAATCCGTGTGTGTGTGTGTGTGTGTGCGCGCGCGTGTGTGTATACGTTATCCAATTATTCCGGGGTAAAGGTATTCCGTCCATTATTACGTGGAGAAAGGGAAAAACGTTTTATGGATCCTAAGGGAGGAATTAAATACAATTGCTCTTAAAAAGGAAGCTATCTACCGTGTTGAGAATGTAGTATCTATTTCAACGGGGTGACTGCTATGATTACTTTTATCCAGATACGAATAATATATATATATATATATATATAAAGAGAATAGAGAATAGTTTGATTAAAATATCTCGTTTGTTTCCTCGTCGTAGTTTTATGACAAATTGAGAGAACGGAGAGACTCCGTTTCGCGAATAGGTAGAAAGCGACCGAAAGGCGATCAATCGTCCAATGCTTCGAATGCCGATCTTAAAAACGATGTATCTACGGATGAAGTTTATATATATATCGAAAGAGGGTTACGCCATTCTTCTCTAAACGAATAATTCATCCAAAAGCGAATCGAATCAATAAGGATATTCGATCGGATAAAGAAACAATTGGTTTCCCCGATATTCTCTTTTCACGAAAGTAAGCTCGAGCAGTCGCTTTTGCAACTGCTTCTTCGATATTTTCTTGCGCATCTGTGGTAAGCAGTTTATATTGCGAAATACATACACTCACATATATGTATATATATATATAGTAGGTGGTAAACGGTTGGTCGCAGTGAACGCGCAACCAATAACAGCGAGATCGATCATATTCGATCTTCGTCATGTCAGTTATTACGGTTCGCGCGCGCGAAATCATTTGCATTCATCGGAATCCAATGGAGCAAGTTCGTCTCTCGAGCGCGAGACGAACTCGTAATGTGAAAAATATCCTTTTGACTGACTGATTTGAAAGATTTGATGGAACGTTTTAATCAGCCGTAAAAACTTTAAGTTTCACTTTCAAAAAAAAAGAGGGGGGGGAGGGGAGGAGAAGGAAAAAATCGATCGATTTCCGCGATCGAGCCACCATCATTCCATACCCAACACGCGTCTTCGATTCGAAACGACGACAAAAGAAGGGATAACAAAACCATTTTGGGGGTAGCCGAATAACGATAACAGAACCATCTTCCCTTGAACGATAAAACGCGCACGTACGCGCATCCACGTACGTTGAATGGCGCGCGAAACGTCGCCTCCAACACCGCATCGCGTTCCGATTGCAACATTTACCACTCCCCCTCACTCGTATCATTTACCACTCCCCAACCGTTTCCTCTCTCGTTTCTCCTCTCGTTTCCTTTCCACGAACTCCTCTCCCTCTCTCTCTTCTATGTATATATATATATATATATATCTACATTCTCAAGCCCTTGTTGTTGTCCCTGTTTTCGTCCGGCCAAATCAGATAGAACACCCTCCACGAAATTGTCCGCGAAATTTTCACACGCAATATCGCCGTTTCTTTCGATCATACTCGCGCGTAAGGGAACAACTCGCGATTCGATAAGCGGTATTCGAATTTCGATGCAACCACTAAGGGCTCGCGAATACGTGGAATGCGTGGGATACGGCAGGTATTCGCCATCAAGTTGCGTCGGTGTATAGCACATCCATCCAGCCGTCCATCCAGTTCACAGAGTAAACGCGTGTGTACGTGGGTGGAAAGACGTTTATGTTCCCCGCTTCCTGCGCGCGATACACCTGCGCCACCACAGCTATGCACAGAGTCGCCATCTACCTTGGTCGGGGTTTGTAAATGTGTGTATCGCGTGTACAGAGTGTATATCGTGTGCATCGGTGCATCTGCCTCTCCGGGAGGGGAGAAGGGGATTTCATCCCTGTTTCCTCCTCGAGCGAGCGTATTCGCGCTCGTCGAACGACGACGATGGAAAATAAGGTTAAATTAGTACGCGTATAACGCAGTTTGTCGGTGACAGCGAGGGCCGCAGTAAAACGTTTATTAAGGTGAACTATGCTCCCTGCGTAAAGGAAAATTCTGCTCGTCGTTCTTCTTGTTTACGGGTAAATTCGATAGAGATTCTCCGTCTAACTCGATAACGAGTAGCTTTCCTTGATTTCCATTCGTGTCCATTCGACACTTGCCGATTCCGTGTTTGCGGACGGTAATAACGTAGCCTCTTTGACACTTTTCGATTCGCGCTTTTAACAATTTTGACGATATTACGATCCGTTTACGAATTATATTAATTCGTATTTGAACAGTTTCGACGCGTTAATAACTAGGATAGGATTTCACGGATCGAAAAGATCCTTCCTCCCTCTCTTATCTACTCGAGGGATAAGAAGATCATTACGAAGAAAGGAGTAGTCGGTGAAAGAAGTAAAGAGACGATATCGTAAATCGAAATTGTTTGTGCATTCGACCGTATCCGCTTATTGTCGCAGCGTTGAATCTCTTCAATAGGGATCGAACAAAAGCAGCCTCGACGCACGATCCAATTAGCGGGCTGAGAATCACGTAATTCAACAAAGAGTCGATCAATTCTGCAACACCGCATTTCCATAAGTAAGCCTGGCGAGCACGTTTCATCTGTCTTCAATCCTACCAACCCTCCGTCTAATTATTGTTTAACGCGCTCGAATCGAACAAAATGCAAAAATAAACAAACGCAGAATAAATCGCAGAAACAGACGAGGAGGAAACTTCTTTCCGTAACCACTCGTTAATAATGAAAATTCTTCTTCGTATACATTTATCTCTTCCTTCCTTCCTTCCTTCCTTCCCCTTTTTATTTCGTTTCATTTTTTATTTTATATATATATAAATATATATACAGAAGCATCATCAGTGTATTTGACCTAGGAATCCGTAACACGGTCACCGTGCAACTCGTGCAATCATATTTGTAGCCCCTTGTCACTTGAAATCCCCTCGTACAGTGCTTTCAGAAGTGAAACGCGTTCAATCTCGTTACGAGCGATGTACTCTCGAGCACGCGCGTACACGCACGGAGAGAAAACGATCGGAGAGAGGGAGAGAGAGAGGAGGAAGGAAAAAAAAAAAAGAAACACATCCATACGTACGACGAGAACCCCTCTCCCTCATTAAGGGTGACGAAGGGGGACGAAACGAGGCGTCGAATGTTCGCGCGACGCGTCCAGATAATCGCAGGAAACGAAATGGCGAAACGGGGAGGTGGGAGGGAATACAGGTTGCGTAATTCCGCGTCATCGCATTTTTATCGCGTTTCACGTGGACGCGTACAATGGCTCGCTTCTCATAAATGCACAGCTTCCTCTTTCCCTCCCCTCCTCGTTTCTCCATTTTTTTCTCTCTTTTTTTTTTTGTTTTTTATTCCGCTCGACACGTCCACGAGGAAGAATACAATCCCGGGATATCATCCCGCGCGTTGCGAAGAAACGGTGAAATTATCGGCCAGGGAAAAAATATATATATATACCGCTTTCTCTCTCTCTCTCTCTCTCTCTCTCTCTCTCTCTC